ACCCCATATTATTAATAATTTTTAATTTTATTTAAAAAATTATAAATACTTTTTAAAATTCTAGGCAAATTTGCCTGGAATACAGTTTAAGAGATATTATTAGTATTAGATTATTAGTTATAGTTAATTATATTTAGAATAAAGAAGATTTTATTGGGTAATAGAATAGGGCACAGTAATACTGCAGCTAAGTAAAATAGTATGCTACACAAAGTGCCTCTACACAAAGTATCTCCAAGTGCCTTTATACAAAGTGCCTCTACACAAAGTGCCTTCGAGTACCTCTACACAAAGTGCCTCTGAGTGCCTCTACAAAAAGTGCTTCTAAGTGCCTTTATACAAAGTGTCTTCAAGTGCCTCTATACAAAGTGCCTCCAAGTGTCTCTACACAGAGTACCTCTAAATGCCTCTGCACAAGTGCCTCTAAATACCTCTACACAGTTAAGCAATTATACTGTTACACTTCTATCTGTTGAAAAGTTATAAAATAGGAGCCTTTTGCCTCTTCTGCAAATTAGAGTTATATTACTCTTATAGAGAGTTTCATTACTCTCAAAAAGAGTCTAATTACTCTCATAGAGAGTTTGACTACTTTCATAGAGAGTTTTTTACTCTCTCATATAATCTAGTCTTATTCTATTATCTCTCTCTATTGTAAAGTGTAATATTTCTTCTCTAGGGTAATTCCTATAGACAAGTTTATTACCATGAACTTGTTATTAATAAATATTATTATCTATAAACTGTTATTATCTTGAACTATTTGCCTTCTGCTATGAAGTTAAAGTATACACTTCACATCTACCCTGTGTATATTTATAAAATATATCACTGCACTAGGTGACCTTGTTACTTTGCTATATTTATACCAAGAAGGCTATAGCATTATAACAATATGTACATTACACTAGCTGAAGCTTGTATAAATTTTGCCAAAATTATTTAAATTAAGTAAATTTACAACTCTCAAGTTGTAATATTTTTATTAATATTTCGATATATAAATTTTTTATTTGATCAGCTTTTCATGTAACTATGCATTAGTGAGATGATCTTGTTATTTGTTAATGATCTAGATCATTTAGTTATAAGTTATTTACAAATAACTGAGATTATTTGGTCAAGAGTTATTTGTAAATAACTCAAATTTAAATAACTCTAAATGACTAATTATTTTAAGATTATTTTAAGTTATTTATAAAATAGGCAAATAACCTGGTCATTTTCTATCTTTGGCTATAACACAAACTATACTGCAATTGCAATCTTCCTAATTAGTTTTTCTATTACTTACTTCACATCTCTTGTAAAGTTTATAACCCTAGTAGCTATGTTTGTACTCTATACTTTGTTCTTTGGTCTTCTAATTTAGATGATCCAGAAAAATTGGTCTGCCCAGACTCAAGGGTTCTAAGTTCAAGTCTAAAGGTCTTCCAATTATTGGTACAAGCTTTTGTAATACAAGTCTTTTTTCTTTAAAATCTCATTCTAAGATCTTCAACTAGATATCTAGTTTCTAAAATAACCAATAAATATATATCTAGTGTGGCCTAGTAACTGTGATAGTCTAGTTAGTAGATCTTTTTGTCTAAAAATTTTGTTATACAAATTTCTATTTTTAGACTACTCCTATAGTACTATTAAAAGCTGCTAATTTTTACTTAAGATTTCTCCAAGACTTGGTGTTTCCCAAGCCAGTTTCAGATCTCTAGATTCTGTGTATAAGTATCTATAATATTTTACATTTTTTAGAAGGCCTATTATAGATTTGCATTATTTATACTAGTTTGTATTTCTTTATGCAATAATATAAATATTTTTAGCTTCTAATGTCTAGAGGCATTGGTATAACCCCAGTAACAGATTATAAACCCAACCCAATTTGAGAGATCTGTTATTATAACACAGATATTTTTGTTCAAAACATTACTAGTGAGATTTGAATTTGATACTATAGTTAAGCTAGCTTAGGGGTATAATAACTTTACTATTTTGCTAAGTTACTATACCCTTTTCTACAACTTTTATTTAATTTTTAATAATATATTAATTAATAAAATATTTTTTTATTTTTAAAAAAAAAAATTTTACTACTAAAATTATATAAAAAATATTTGATATATATCTTGCCCTTAAATTAATTAGTCAATTAGCAACAGAGTTTATAATAAACACAATACTGAAATCTGCTTGTATATTAATTTTATTTATTTATACAAACCAGAATTTTTTACTAAGCAAACCAAATTGCATTTACTAAATAAATATCTTTTTTTACATACTTTCAAATTTTAATATAATTTAGTAAACTTTTTATTAATCAACTTTTATATTATATATCTTAGACAGAAATTTTAAGCTTTATATTGAAATATATAACATAAAAATTAATTAATAAAAAGTTAATTAATTCATTTCAAAGTTTGAAAGTATATAAAAAAGGCATTTCTGATAACTTTACTTAGTAAATACAATTTAGTTTGTTTAATAAAAAATTCTGTTTTTTTTAAATTATTTTTAATATATTATATTAAACTACACCAATATATAGGGGTGAGTCAATAGAAATCAAGCAAATTTTTTATAATAAAAACTTTTTATAACTTTAAGCCAGAATAAATTAACAAAAACATAGCCAAATTTAATAAAAATTTTTTTAAATAATTTTTATAAACTTGTAGAATGAGTTTAAAAAAAATTTTATCAAATTTGATTAAGTTTTTATTAAGTTATTCTTGTTTAAAGTTTTAAAAAAACTTATTAAAAAATATTTGCTTGATTTCTATTGACTCAACCCATATAGTAATATTTTTTTTTTTACTTGGTAATTATGTACTATATTATTAAAATATTGTAGTATAAAAAACTGGCCTTGTTAACTACAGTATATTACTTGATTTAATATAAAGAAAATAAGAATATATTTACTATAATAAAAAGAAAAACTTAAAAAAAAATTTAAAAAAATAAACTTAAAATATAATGTAAAATACAGAATATTAAAAAAATTAAATACAGGCAAGCAACTCTCCCTGTCGATTACTGTAACCAAATTCTGGAGAAAGAAAATTAAAGAAAACTGGCTAAACAACTAAGCTAACAAGGAGTTTGTATCTAACTAAAGTTGTAATACAAAGAAGACACAACAATTTTTATTAGAACAATTTTTAATAATTTATAGCAAGTAGCATAGATTATCTTTGAAATAGCCTTTTGGACAAAAAATTTTCATTTCTGTAGAAAAAGTAAGAAACGGGTTTACCCCAGTTTGCAGATCCTTGTACATTACACAAAGTAAATAAATACGTCAACACAGTACCAAACAAATAGTAACTGAAATAGTATATGTGTAACTAGTGTTCGAAACAAGATATTATCTAGAACCAAACAGACATAATACAAGATAACTACACATGATAAACTAACCATGGTAGCAGAGTTAAACTGGTTTAGCAAATTAGAAGAATACAAAGATTTTTTTACAAAATCTCCTGAAGAGTGAAATATATCTAGTGTTATGGAAAGATAGAGAAATAGCAGTGTTAATCGAAGCTGCACCCGAAACAATAAGTATATTTAGAAGAATAATAAAGCTATATAATTACAGCAAGTATCTGAAGAGTAAAGACAGAGAGATAGAGTTAACCAAGAGTGCAGCAAAGTCAAGCCTTGATGAACAAATTAAAGAGAAGCTAATAGAGTATGAGAGTAGAGTAGTCGATTATGGTATAGAAGAAGTTAATAGTAAAGAGTCACTATATACACCAATGACTGAGAGAAGTAACACAGGGTCAGATTTGAGTGTAAATGACAAAAAGAAACCTTCTAGCCAAGAATTAAAAAATGATATAACAGAAGAGCTGGTACAAGAGTTAGAAATGATATTAAATATTACACCTGTATTAATAAGCACTGAAATTGTAAAAAATATACAAAGGCTTAGTAAAGATAATAAACAGAAAGAAATACTAGTAAGGGCAGATACAAATGAAGCCAACTAGGCTGAACTATTTACATCATAAGATATACCATTGTACATGCAGTCACAAGCAATAAGGAAATGCTTACACTTCTATGACAAAATAAGCATTTTAAAATAGAACTCACAAAAAAAGAACAAAGCAGTTTTTTTTACGATTAAATACCACAATGCAAGATGCAAGTTGGCCTTCCAAGCTGCATAGGCAGTACATTTTGTAGAAAGGAAAATGTTAAAAGTAACACCTGGTACTTTTGCCAAAGAAATATTAGAGAGTAGAACAAGATTCAAAGGGGTAGTTAAAAATGTCTTAACATCAGCAATAGAAGTACTATTGTTAAGATAGCTAAAAGAAGTAGGTGCAAAAGCAGTTTATATCTTATATAACAATAACTGAAACCAAAGATGCATGGCATTGGTATACTTTGAATCAAGAGAAGAGCTGGAATTAGCTCAAGAAAGAGATACCTTTTATTATAACACAAAGCTTGAATGGCTAGGTAAAAGTGATAAAAAGTAGAAGAGAACTAGAGAGAGAAGTGACCAAGACCCAATAAAAGAGAGATATCTTTTAAATGAAAGAGTAAACTCTAGAAAGCATACCCTTGGCTCAAACAAACTTGATAAAGGAAAAATAAATAAAGCAGTTAAAGATCGCAAATAGAAACTCAAAATTGAAACTCAGTTCGAATTCAAAGAAGAAAGAAGAGCAAACAAGGAGAACCTAAAAGAGACAAGTAATGTAGGGTCATTAAGCAATACAAGAGAACTCACAAAAAATGCAAGGAGCTCTAGTAATCAAGTGATCGTTGAAAAACTTGGTGGTATATTAAAAAAAATTATGAAGAGGCTTGCTAAGATTAAAGAAAGACAACAGGAGGTTAATACCCCCAACCGCTTCTAAAAGTTGCTACAGGTATTGTAAAAGAGGAAAGAGGCTACTCAACATCAAGTTGTACAAGAAGAATCCAGCCTCAAAACAGCAAAGCTGATTTAAAGTCAAGCCTTATAATACAGAAAATGGACATTGGGTTAAATATAGTATATCACAACATCAATAGGATTAAGGTGAATAAAACAAAGCTTAAAACGATAGATGAGTAGATATCAGAGAATAAAATTAATATACTAGGGCTAGTTGAAACAAATACAAATGAGAAAGAATTAAAATTTAGCAAGTTGAGTAATGGCAAAAAAGGTTTTTGGACACAAAGCATGATCACAAAAAAGAAAGGTTCAGGGGTTGGGCTAATTGTAGATGCAAAGTAGAAAAAGCATCTTGAACAAGTTGCAAAAATAAAAGAATATATAATAGAAGCTAGATTCTATTTTAGACAAACTGAAATTATAGTAATAGTAGTATATTTCCTGCCAAGTAATAGGAAGTTAGAGAAGGTGCTCCAAAAAACAATTGTTATCAAGTATATAGAGAGATCTAGCAAAGTACACTTTATAGTAATAGGTGATTTCAATAGAGTAATAGACCCAAAGCTAGACAAGAGTAGGAGCAATAGACACATAGCACACAAGTTATTGCCACTCTACAAATGGTTTAGAAATCAGGGTTTCACAAATATATTTAGAGCACTAAACCTATACACAAGAATGTATACATAGTCTGGCCAAGATATTGAATCTCAAATAGACCAGATTTAGGTATCAGAAGATCTGGCTTATAGTGCAACAAAAGCAGAGATCATAGAGGTTAAGATTATAACAGTGAGTGATTACAGTATCATTACTAGGGTTGTGAGCACGGGGTCATTGGGCATGCCCCTGTCATGTAATATATATAGTTATATGGCAATTTGATTGGCTAAAACTAAAGAGTCGGGAAAGCTTTAACATAAAAGGTATGTCAATTCGGGTTTTATAGAATAAATTTTTTTTAAAAAACTGACTGTTAATTTTTAAAGCTTAGTCTTGTGTATAAAGTTATTGGTCATAACTTTAAAAAAATTTGTCTATAAAAAGTTTCAGCGCTTTAAAAAAAATACTATATTTTGGCGCAGCATATCAAATATATGAATTTTATTGGCAACCACGCTCACAGGAAAATTAAAACATTTCCTGTGATTGTCAAAGTATAAGCTTCATAGCTGCAAGTATCGAATTATAATTGTATGCGATTGAGCGCATATACAATGCATATGCACTATTGCATGTATTATTCGATTATTAACGCCATTTTTTCCCAGATATAGATTGACATAGTTATCGAATGATTATTTCTCAAAAGCCTGACGTGAGAAGCATAATTGTATAAAGTATCGTACGATTGTTATTAAATCATGCGAAGCATAATTACATGACAGGAATCATGCAATTGTTATTATTAGGAGGGCACATATTGAAAAAAATGGTGTAAGGTTATGTACGATATTGAATATAAAGAGAATTATAATATTATAGTTATTAGTTGTAAATGGCGTGAGGAATCATGTATAATGCTATACTAAAAATTTGAAGTCAGCGAAAATATAAAATTCGATATTTGCAAAAATGTATTTAAACTGTCTTGACTAAAATAAACTGACATTTAAAACCATATTCATTTTAATAAATTTTAAAACTTGTAGTTCATATTCATTAAATTTAATCATCTCTTGATCATACATTATAATTAAAAAAAAAAATTAGCTCATTTATTTTTATCATGCAGATATCATTAGTTCTTATATTGTCATATTTAAATAATCTGCATTTTGCTTATAACTTAAATTATCTTTTCGCCTATTTATTATGCAAACTCCCATAGGCTTCGCTCTACCACTTTCAACCCAAGATCAACGCTAGTATGGCTTTTATCATTCTGAGCAAAAGAAAAAAGGAAATAGATATGATGTGAAATATAAATATTGTTTGAACAAATTAATTAGCAAACCTTCACAGCTTCATCAGCACATGCTTCGGTGTAGTGATTGGCCTGCTCCTGAAAAAGCCGTTTATCTCCAGAAAATTAGTGAAGAAAATATTTCACCTTGCAAACATACCCGTGATGATGAGAAAGATACATCTGCTGAACAAGATTCTGAAAGCACAAATCAGTTATCTACACACCCCCACCAAAGTACTATTTTTGATTGGTGTGTTCAGCCTTTATCTCAAATGCAATCAGAGAAACTCCATCAGAAGCTTTTAAAAGCTATTATTTATGGAAATATCCCCTTCAGCATTGTCGAAAATCCTTACCTACAAGAATATCTTTATAATTTAAACCCCTCTTACCATCCTCCTTCCCGAGATATGATCAGTGGATGACTTTTAACCAAGATATTTTCTGATCATCTTCAGGAAAAATTAAAAACTCTTCCTGCTCTAACAGACCTTACAGTATCTTTAGATGGATGGACTGATAATTCAGGAAACTCTATTTATGGGTTTATAGCTCTTAAAGAGCACCAGGAAACCGTACTGGATATTCTTGACCTGTCTGCAAATTGCCATACTAGTAACTTTCTTAAAGAGAAAGTAAAAGAAGTGTTATTAGCAAGTGGTATTCAAATATCATCTGTTATTGCTGTCATTACTGATAACGCCTCAAATATGGATAAAATGAGACGAATGCTTAATGTAAGTATGATATATTTTTTAATATGTATTAGTTATAGTTATTAAATATACTTATCTTAATTATTAAATTTAGGACGAGTGTTCTAATATAATCCCTATTCGCTGCTGCTTACATGTTTTTAACTTGATTATTAAAGATATTGTTAGCTTCCCTGCTGCCGCTTCTGTTTGTAAAAAAAATCAAAAACTCGTTAACTTTTTCAATTCATCTCATATCTGGCATCGAGAACTACAAAATTGGCAAAAAGATAAAAAAATTAAACACTCTCTGGTAACGTTTTGTGAAACAAGATGGTATTCGCTTGCTAAAGTCTGCATGGGTGTGTCGGCATACGAACAGGGTTTTCAGTATTGTTTGACATTAAGTGAAACTAGACATCCCAAATATCCTGAAATCGATAATAATGTGGTAAAAGATATCATTCGCAATAAATATCATTTTGCTACTAATAATACGTTGATGAAAGTAGTTAAGCCAGTGGTTGATGCCATCAGAAGATTAGAATCAAACGATTCCACACTTGCTGACATTTTTAAAGAACTCATCTGTATCTACTACGAATTATCTTTACTCCAAGTTCCTATTGATGGTTTTCAGGAACATGCCCTTGCTGTTATTAACAAACGTGCAAGGGAGTTTGAAAGTAATATTTACTTTATTGCATTATTTCTTTCTCCAACTCATAAAAAACTAGCCATATCTAAAAAAATGAATAGAGATAAAATTATTCGTGCTTCATTAGAATTGGCTAAAGTTTAGAATTTCAGTAAAAGAGACATGAGTCTTTTGTTTAAAGAACTCATTAGTTACAAAAATAGTAATCCTCCATTCAACAAAATCTCTCTTGACTTATCAAAGACTATACGATCTTTCTGGGCCAAATTTACTAGAAATACACCTATATTACATTGTTTTGTGATGAAAGTTCTTGCCATTGTCCCTCACAGTGCTAGCTATGAATGGCTTTTTTCATCGCTTGGCCTAGTAAAATCAAAAAGTCGAAATAAAATTACACCAGACAATCTTTCTATCCTTGGGCAGCTCAGAAATGAGCTTAAGAAAAAAGTACCTACCAAAGACAAGAAACATAGAACTATTTCTGAGCCTTTAATCGACAGCAACAAAACTTTGAAGATCTTCTTTGATGAGGAAAATAAAATATTAGAAGATTTAGAGAAAGAGCTAGAAGAAATAATCATAGAAAATGAAGCATTTTTTATGGAGGAACTTTTTGATTTTGAAATATTTAAAAGAGATCAAGAAGCATTAGAAAACTTGTCTCAGGTTAACGTGGAACAAGATCTGTTTCTAGAAGGGGATTGGTCCATTGACGACATTATACTTGAAAACCTATAGATTTATAACTGAATATATTATTTGTTATACTGTATATTTTTTATAAATAAAGAAATTTTTTTTAATACGTACGTATCGAGTGAATTTAATGTACTGAACTGGGGTCCCTAATTAATCTATGTCAGGTGTTATAGTAAAATTAATTATACATAGATCAGCAAAATCGATAGATTACTAACAAAAGATTAGTATTTAAAAAATCGCTTCACCTTGTGTATTAATAATTTTTTTCAGCCAATTTTTGCGGCAAATGGTTATTATGATACTGTAAAAAGAAGTTATGGTTTAAATTTTTATTTACAAAAGGTAATTCGCAATAAAATTCACTTTTAAATTAAAAGTTTATATGTAAAATATAAAAAATCTAATTAAAATAACTTCAAAGTTGACCAAAAAAAATTGGTAGTATGTGATGACTAATATTTTCTATCAGTTTTGCATAAAATCTGTATTATTTTACTGATTAATTAGTTAATTAATTAGTATATGCAGGACTGCGTTACTATTTATATGTAAAAGTTACATGTGATTTATCTGTAGGGCATGCCCCAGGCATGATAAGAAGGGCATGCCTTGGTTCGAGGCATGCCTTTTCGGGCATGCCCAAAAATTTTCTCATGCCCGCAACCCTACTTACATACTTCGGAAATGTAAATGTTAGGCTCTATATTTATCTCTCCAATAAATTTTAGTCCTAGCACTTGTTCACATACGACTGGTTTCATATTTTTGCTTAATATCTTAGTGAACTTAATTTCGGATATACCTGTTAAAACTATTCTTTGCCATATTAACCTGCTAACAATATAATACTATTGCTTATTAACTAATAAAAGAGGATACAATTTCTCACCCTCATTCTTTCTATGATAATGGAAAATTCTATCTAGAATCTCATTTGGTAAAGGTAAGTAATAAATGAGGGACTTTTCCAATTTCATAGATACTGGAGGAATTATTTCTTCAAAGTCGACCCACTTTAAATTTATCACATTCTTTATCAACACAATGTCTGTTTTTACGATTTTTTGCTCTCTCCTTCCACCTGCATATTCTATTCCAAGCATCTGATCAGTAGCTTTGCCCAAAATAATATATCCATTTGTATGGATTCTCTTTATACGCTCATCTAATGGTCTAATTTTTTTTGATATAATTTTACGTCCTTTTGCTGAAATAAATGGTGCCATACATTGATGTGGACCTGGTCTTCTCCTATCTGTATACAATTGCCCCCAAAGAGATACTAACATATATTTTGCAACTTTTCCTGCTAGTCCGCCTTTATTCTTAATTGCTGAAAGGTAACTTGCCCATTGATAGAAAGTATTATGCTCACTCCTAAGCTGATCTTGTCCAAATATTAAAGCATTAGGACTTTTAGAGGATAATTCTATGTGAAGACCTAGGTTTTTTGCTAATTGCAAGTCATAATAAGTATAATATCCTGTGAGATTATAGCGGAATGTTTTTGTGCATTTATAGTTTACTAGCTGGCCTTCTATATTCGCACGATAAATTTCATATTCCAGATTATAGCTAATAGGATTCATGCTAATATGAGAGAATGTTCTAAACTCATCTGGTCCTATTGGCCAAAAAGCTCTACTATGAGCTAAGATGTTCGGATAATATTCATTGAAATCTAATTCGGTTGCAATTCTTTTATATGGCTCAGCCCACACTAAACCTCCCATATAGGCTGATCTTATCCATTTGTCTTCTTCTTCTGATAAGACTTCAGCTCTTTTAGGTCCTCTAGTTACATCTTGAAAGAAATATAAACTTGCTATAGTGTAAGTTCCAGTTGCTCATAAGTTTATCTGCCCATTACTTTGCTATAAGATTGTATCAGCTTTATCATTATAACGTTTATGTGCTTCTTGAAGCATTTCATTTGAATTGGCTTTGATTAAAACCCAATCTCGTGATAAATCACAAAAATCATTTTCAGAACCAACCCATTGTGTAGAACTATCATAAAATTCGATATGATTTCCCTGCCTTCTCTAGAATAGAAATCTTCGAATAGCTGAGTACCATCTTGTGTCAGTATTTTGGTAGGCTAAAGCGGTCTTATAGTCGCTTTCCCCCTCCTCATCCTCTTCTGGTACTGGTGGCTCAGAAGGTTTAGGTAACTCAGGTGGCATCGGGTCTTCCCAGCTTGGTAAGAGATTTTCGAACAATCATCCCAATACACCAGTGATAGTACTAAGTATTCCGCTCATTTTTTCCTAAAGATTAAATATGGTTACAAAAATGTTTAAAATAAAAATTAATTTATTTGGATAATTATAGTTACATATTTATTCAAAAGAACAAACTAGTATGGGATTTTATAAATGTTCATATATTCTTAGGTCCGGAGAAGTATGCAATAAGGGGTGCTATCGAGTAGAAGGGTGTAAAGTTCATTAGAAATCTCCTAACCGAGTTCCCTGTATAGAATGCGAAAAATTAACTTTCTCTATTTATAGTGCTTGTAGGAAACATGTAGATAAATATCGCATTCGAGATTTTTATCAGTGTCAAAAACTTGCAAAAATTCAGGCTAGTGAAGAATTAATGATGAGCTAGTGATGGGCAGTGCTGGAGATGTTCTGGGAATGTTCTCGGGACCCAATATGTATATATTTATATTACAATTTTTTTATCTGGAGGTAACTCTATTTGCCTTATAATATAAGCATTTATTATATGTTTTATGGTATGTTTACATGTACTTCGCTTCACTTCACACAAAAGCTCTGCTATGCTTCGCCTATGGTAAGCTATGTATTGCTTACATGACTTGTTTACTTGTACTTCACACAAAGGTTTTGCTATGCTCTGCCTATGGTAAACCATGTATTGCTTATATGACTTGTTTACCTGTGCTTCGCTTTGCTTCGCATAAAGGCTTTACTATGCTCTGCCTATGGTAAACTATGTATTATATTCATGATTTGTCTCATATAATAGCATACATTAAAAAAGGTAGCATAGAGTCGAAAAAATATAGCATTCATATTCACTTTACCCTAAAAGGCTTGCTCATATTCCTACTATATTTTTTCTCCCAAGGGCATTTGTATCACTCTAAAGGGCTTATGCGCCTGCCTCTTCTTCAGCTACCTATATAGTATGCTATTGGAAGGCGATTTGATTATATTTTATACAAAAATTCATGATACCCAAGATGAAAGCCAAATGGGTTTCAGACTTGATTGTGCCAAAATGAAAATTTATTTTTACATATAGGAAGCAGATGTTAACAAAGCGACAAGAAAACAAATTTATTTACTTAAGTTTACGAGTATATTTACAATGAGTTTACACTATAAGAAAAATTTTTGATATTCAGGATAACCTCCTGGAAACATTTAGACGTAATGTGCCAAAAAGCCTATTTTTCTACTACTAGCTACTATATTAAGCACTTAGATGCGACCTGTCACACTAACATCAAAAATATGTTTTGGTTAGGAAACCTTGTTAGCTTGTTAAGAACTAATCCCTTCAATCTTTCTTTCTTTATCAAGAGCACAAGAAAGTAAAGTTCTGTACTACTAATACAGAATTAACATTGAGAAAAAAAACAAAAACTAAAACTAAAACAAAATATATAATGAAAGAAGAATCAAAAAAGAAAAAAAAAGAGGAGAACAGGTGAATATAAAAAAAGAAAAACAAAAAGAAAAGCCTCTACGGGCTGACCAAACTACCTCTGTTAAGAAGTAGTTTGTAGTCAAATAATAAAAATTATATAACTAATACAACTATAGTATATCTTAATTGTAATATTTTACTTCAACTAGAATCTTCTTTCTGACATATGCCCAAATCTGGGTACTAATTAAATGAAGAGTCCCGATCTTTTATAGGTAGCACTATGTTTATTTTCATAGTCACTCCAAATACATGGTTGCAATCTACCTGGTCATCCCGATTTAGAAGAAGTAAACAATGCCGATCTTTTAATGGGGGTAAGCTGTTTTGCCCACTTTTTTTGAAAATTTTGTTAAAAACACAAGTGAGTGATAGTAAAAAGTATAGACCGAGTACTTTTCTTCAAGGAGAGTATATGTTTCTTCAAAAATAGTAATACAAGTAGGTCCAAGTGCACTGCTGCTCTTTTTTTCGGTAAGTGATAAACTCTAAACCTGTTAGCAAATAGCATATGAGAACTATTTCTAAATAACAAGTGTCATCCCTATAGTGAGTGATAAGCTCTGAACCTATTAACAAATAGTATATGAGAACTATCTCTAAATAATAGATGCTAGTTTATGGTTTTTGTTAGTCTTATGTTCTTCTTCTCTAATATAGTTTTATTGTTTTTGTTGAAAATTTGAATTTTGAAAAGTTGGTCCAAGGGATTGTCAGGAAGAATTATACATATTATTTATTTTATATATATTTTACAAAGTGTAGGATATATATAGATTATATATAATATATTCTATATCATTCTTATATATTTGCTATCTAATATATATATATAGTTTAAATATAAAATATATTAAATTTCGATTTGTGATTCTAATTTGTATAATAAAAGATTTGTATTTATAGTTAAAAATAGTTTTGAAATAACTAAAAAGCAAAGATATTGTATAATATATTGTTTAAATATTATAATAAATAGAGTAATCAAAAGAATAGCTTTATAAAATTAAAATAAACAAAGAATTATAAATATTATAAAAATTAAATATAATATATAATATATTAAAATATAGTAATTGCAAGTAAGTTTATTAGCTTTATTATTAAATATATAATTCTAATATACTTTAACTTTATAAAAAGTAATTGTTTGGTTATATAAGATTTAATAAGATTAAAAAATATATTTTATATAAACCAATATAAAGTATTTAAATAACTAAAACTAGTTAGTAGTTAGATTAGGTTGTTGTATTTAGATATTATAAATTAAAAGTTTAAAAAAATTTAGATATTATAGTTTTTAGAAGTAGTATATATTACAAAAAGTACACGTGTGGCTTGATATATCATTATTGTAATTACATATAAAACTTCATCTATACTCTAATAAAAAGTTCCCCAGACCAAAGAGGTCATCTTAATACCAAAAAAAAAAAAAAAAATTTATCAGGATAATATCAATTAATAAATTCTAAATCAATCTTTTAGTAACTATATAGCAACAATATCATAATGATATCATCGCTATGTAGTTACTAAAAGTTTGATTCTTTTATAGATAATAATTTTTTTAAACAGGAATACCGAGTGAACTTTGAATTTCGTATAATACTGGCTACAAAACTAGTTGAGACTGTAATTGGTGAGATTGTTGGTAGAATTGTTGGATGGGAGGTTGTTGGATATAAGGTAGTTAGATAGGAGATTGTTGGATAGGAGGTAGTTGGATAAGAGGTTGTTGGATAGGAGTTTGTTGGATAGGAGGTTGTTGGATAGGAGGTTGCTCGATAGGAGGTTGTTGAATAGGAGGTTGTTAGATAAGAGGTTGGAATTGTTAAACAGGTTAAGCAGAGTAAAATTGTTGTTACACAGGTTGGGTTAAAAATCGAAATTGTTAGATAGGAATAGTTGAAGATCGAGATTGTTGGACGGGAATGGTTGAAGATTGAGATTGTTGGGCATTTTGTGCTGTGGTTGGAGAAGATGGAATGTCTTGAGAAATAGCTCTTCGTTTTCTAGAAAACATTTTTTTTAGAAGTAATATTTTTGAAAAAAAAATTATAAGCTAAAAGAGAAAAAAGTTTTTTTTTTATAAAATAAATTCCAAAAATTCCATCATGTAAAATTGCAATTTTTTTTTTAAAAAAAAAATTTCGCTATACAAAAATTACAATTTTTTTTAAAAAACATTTGTTATGAAATTTAACACATAAAAATTAATGCAAAATCTGTCGTAATTATAATAAGTTACAGCAAAAAAATTATCGTAGCTTATTATAATTATGTCAAATTATGACAGCATATTTACTTCAGTTAGCAATTAATTCGGGTGTTAAATAATATTTATTACTTTTTTAATAATATTGGTATATGGGCATTAAATTTTTATGAACTGAAAAATGCCCAAGTAATATTTTTTAACTTAAATAATGATCTATATATGATAAATTTAAATGTTTTAACACTTAGTGGTTAAAACGTTGCAACTTCTATTGACTTAAGTTGATACTACTTTAATGTTCAAAAGGGTGCCAATCTTGTTTAAATCATGGTTTTTTTTGCTTTGTTTTTTTTTTTCTTTTTTTTTGTAATTTTTTTTATTTTTTTTTCTTTTTTTTGTAATCTTTTTCTTTTTCTTTAATCTTTTCTTTTTTTGTAATTTTTTCTGCAAACAATTAATAAATCAATAAATTTGATTTGTTATTAAAATTTTTAAATATATTATATAAAATATTAATGGCTAATGAATATTGACCCAATTTTTATGACTTTATTAAGCAGCAATTTTTTAATTTCATAAATTAAGGTTTTTTTTTTTTATAAGTTTAAACAAATATATCTTGATATTAAAGTAAATTTAACAAACTTTTTTTATTTTAATTTTAGAGATTTCTAGAATTAAAAGAAAAAAGGATATTGAATTTGCTTAGATAGTTACCAAGATACCTTTGATCAAAATTTAAAATGCCTATATATAGTAACAGTTACAAATATCTGTGTATAACTTTAAGTGAAGATATTTTAACAACCATCCAAGCAAATTCGATGAACCTTTTTCTTTTAATCCTAGAGATCTTTAGAATTAAAATAAAAAAAATTGTTAAATTTACTTTAATAATTGTTAAGATATATTTGTTTAAACTTTTATAAAATTTTAATTTTATGAAATTAAATTGAGGTAAGATTGCACTAAACAGAGATACACGAAAAATTGTCTTTACTAAAATGCACTTATTGTGTTTTGTATTTATCATTAAACTTATATTATCTTAAAAAACTGGCAAATTAATTGGTGCTAGATGTTTGTTTTATGCCCTAAAAACTTTTTACAAACTCTAACCCTAATGTGAAAAAATTTTTGTCAAAAACTTTTATAACTTATAAAGACTTACAAAATTTAAAAACATAATCTTTATTATTAAGAAATCTTAACCAAATCGTAAGATTTTATTTTTTATAAAAAGTCTTTATTATAAAGAAATTGTAATAAAATCTTAACCAAATCGTTGAGTTTATTTTATAACAAAATTTTGTTAAGATTTCATCATTATTAATATTAGGTTTATTTAATTAAACCAAACATAACTCTAGCACGATTTTACATAGTACATAAATATTAATTGAACCTGGCCAACTTAACTACTATATAGAAACTTACAGTAAAATCTAGACACATGTATCTCGGGTATAAGTCACGAACTGGTGCTTCAAACTGGCAAAAGATACACCACATGGAGATACATGTCCAGATTTTATGGTAAATCTTTTAATGCACAGTAACTATATAGTAACTATTTATTTACAATTAAATTTAATAGTAATTATTTAATTACTACATTGTTACTATGCAGTTACTACATATTAAAATATTTAAGTTTCTGTAAAGTCGTAACTAAATTTTTTTTTATACTATACATACTATAGAGTAAAAATCTTCATATTTACTAATCTTTAAATTGCAATAAAATAATATATTATTAATTAAAATTAAGTTTGCTTGCAATATCAAGACCACTTCTCAATGGTACAAGCATGTTTTTGGTTATATTGTCCAAGTTTTTTACTTGGTCAATATTCTTGCCTTGCCAATAAATTTTAAAAATTTCACGAATCAATAGAACTAATTTTTTTATTGCACCATACCTTTAAAGCTCACTTTGATTAGTTTCTCCAATAAACCTATTAAGAACTTCCATTGTTACTTTTTCATTAATATAATTTTTAATATTTTTATTTGTTAACAATATTACACCTTGTCTAAAATTATATAATACATATAAATATCAGATATACGTAATATGTATCAATTATAATATACATGTATACTTATACTTAATATATATACCTTTCTTGTATTGCTTTATAATTTTTAATATGACCCAATACTGTTTAATTAAGTCTGTGTCAAAAATCACTTAATATATTTTTTGTTTTAGTTCGTATCTCTGTTCTTTCTTTAAAATAAGGTGGATACCCAAATATTTTCTTAACAAATTCATCAATACATGTTGCTGGAGGAAACCTTGCTCTAAGGAAGAGACATTTTATTTCTTTATCCTATATACGTGCACCATTCTAAAAAAATTAATTTTATTTATTTATTTATTATATTATAAATTTTTTTTAAAAAAAAATAGTTTATATCATAAATCTTACTCTATTATTAACTATTCTTGCCAAAATTGCAGATGAAGGCATTGACGATTCATTAAAAGTACAAACATTTTCGATTAGTGATAAGAATGCCATATATATTTGGTTGGCTAACTGTAATATAGATAGATGTTTTACTAGCCAATTGCATATTTCTAAAATATTATTCATCTCATCAAATTCTGCTGGAATTTGAGTAACTTCATGCTCTCATTGTTTTTCTTTAGATTTTTCTTTTATAAATGATAAATTAAAATTTAATAATAAATAGATTATATATATATTATATGGGCTAGGTTCTGCAAAAGGAACGAAATTGACAACTTTTACATAAATCAATTTTAAATAAGATTAGAATCATTTTTCACTTAAGACACAAAAGTAATTGAGTTAATAAAAATTTGCAATATAGCTTCTTAACGTTCGTGTTTTCTTATGATTTTCTGAAGATCTCTTTTTTTTATCAATTTCGCCACTTTTCACAGCATATACCATATTAAAAATTAGCATATCCAAGCTCAATAGATAAATACCTGATATACCCGATTGGAATTCTTCAACATGCTCGTTACTTGAAATTGCTGTTAATGAGTTGGCTTATAATAATATAAAAAGTTAACAAATTAAATATTAATAATATATTAATAATTTCTAAATAATTTATAAAGCCTAGATTTCATTATCTATTTTTCGATTAATTTTAATAAATATCTAATAGATTATACTATTAAATTTAGTGTTTAACTGATAACAGATCTATGCTCAATAAACAAATACCCAATTGAAATTCTTCATTATCATTATTATTATATTCGTTACTTGAAATTGCTATTATATTTTGGTTTAGTTTAGTATATGTAGTATATATATAATAGTAATAATTAATATAATAATTTTAATACTAACAATAATTATCATGTAAACTATATATATCATTATGTTGGCTATCATTGTTATCTTCATTATCGTTTTCTGATAGCATATCTAATATATTTGTTGCTACATGAGATATTGAAGAATTACCTGCTTTATCTCCAAATATAACACTTCCTTGATAAAATATTTTAGTTTATTAATAATAATACGATATAAAATTAAATAATTTTAATAAAGAACTTTGATTTTGATTTCTGGTTGAAGATTTTAGAAATAGTGAAACATCATTATTGTCATCATTTTGAATATTTTCTTTTTTTAAATAATATTTATATTTTTTTAAAAAAAATAATGATATATAAAAATTAAATAACACTTAAAAAAATTAATAAATTACATTGATTTTGACATAGTTCATCATCTTCGTCCTCATTTGCATCCTCATTTGCATCCTTATTTGCATCCTCATTTTCATCCTCATAATAATAAAATGATAGTTTTTTTAAAGAATTTTTTTGTGAAGATTTAGATGCATTTTTTAAAGAAGATTTAAATACTTTTAATACTTTTGATAAAGGTTTTGCTTTAGACAAAGGTTTTGAAACTTTTGCTTGAATCTTCAAAGAAGATTTAGCAACTATTTTTTGGAGCTTTGAAGATTTTGGTTGGATGATCATGCTTTGTTTTTTCTACAGTATTTTTTATTTTTTTTAAAAATAATAATATAAAAAAGTAGAGTTCAAAGCTTGTAAAAATTAATGATTTTTTAACAATTTTTTAACAATATTTATTTAATATTCTTGCTATTTATAATAAAATATAATGAAATTAAAATATAGTAAATTTATTAATTTTAAACTTTTATTTTTTAAATTAATAAATTTTTTTATTAAAAATTTAATTTTTAAACATATAATTAATAGACAATTTCTAATCAAACATGAGTTATGTGTTAATTAAACTTTTTGTTTAATATTTTAATTTTTATTTTTTAAATATTATAAATTTTTTATTAATATGTAAGTTATTAAATTTAAACTTTTTTTTTTACATATTTTAACTTTTTTGTATTATCAGAATGATTTATAATTCTAATTAATTTAAAATTTTTTTTTTTGGTATTAAGATAAGGTTTTGCTCATATCTTTATTAAATAATTTATATAAGTAGTTATATAGAAGCTATATAAAAACTCAATTTGTATACAAACAAATAAATATAAATTACATGCAAGAATAAAAAATCAGACTGATTTATCCATGATCTAAACCTATTAGAGTAGTCAAGATTCACCTAGATTTGAATAGTTAAGATATGATTAATAGGTTTACTATATTTGTTCCACATGGTGGACCAAATATTGTATTTAAGAGAAGCTTGTCTAAGTGGGAGATATGTGTTAGATTCTGAATGTAAGTGGTCAGCGAAGCCACAAGAGTAACTATAAGTGTAATTAATTCTATTTCTGTGATTTCTAGAAGATAGTGAGGTGATGAAATTTGGTGAGCTCTTTTCCAGTAAGAAAGGTTAGAGCAGTAGGAAATCTAAATATTATTATAAAGGTGGTCAGAGATTTTTAAAAGTGTTTTGATAATAAGTTGAAAATCTTGCGAATAGAAAATTTCAAAAGGGTCTAAAAATTGAATTAGAGTGATAGATATAAAACCTTTTAGTGTAGAGTGTAGAGAGTAGGGGTATAGCTGTGATAGAGAGGAGTTAAAGGCAGAATATAAGGTGATAGCATGTATTAAGTTATTAAGTTGGTATATCAAAAGGTTAAGATTGGTATTAAAGATAATATTGTATTTTGAGATATTGATAGCTTGGATTAAAGAGGTGTTGTCAGGGCTAAAGTACTAGTAGAAAGAGGTATCAGTAGTTGTATGAGAAGCAGTTAGGGGATATAAATATAGAGGTGTATATGGAGTGAAGATATGCATGTGTTGGAAGGATATTGAGAAGTATTTTGATTTTAAAAGATTTTAGATAGTTTAGTTTAGAGTTTGTGAAGTATATGATATTTTTTGGTTGTTATTGAAAAATAGCTATAAGGCTTTCTAGTTAATTAAGTGGAAGAAGTGAGACTATTCATGAGTATGGTATTGTGAGGACTACAAGGCAATATTTTGAGTATTGCAAATTAATTTAATAAATTGTCTAGTGGGGCTTTCAATAGGGCTTTTGTTCCATTGCAAAATAGACAAAAGATTATACAGATTATTATAATTAAAATATAAAGTTGGTGAGCTAGAATAGTTGTTTGCAAGTAAGTCAGCAAGATTGTTAAAAGGATTGTCAGAATGGGCTTGAACTTTGTAAAAGGTGAGTTGGTTGTTAAAAGACTTGAGAATATTAAGAAGTATATGCCAAATAGGCCAGTCATTGAATTTAAACTATTTTGGGAACTAGAGTTTGTTGTACTTAGAAATAACAGATTGTGTGTCAGTAAAGATATTTACAGTTGAGTTGCAAGAGAGTGTGGAAATAGCTAATAGTATTGCAAGTAGTTCTGCTTTATATGAAGAGAGCCATTTAAAAATTTAAGCAGAGAAGCTAAAAGTAACTTTGTCATTATTAACTTGGACCTAGCTAACACCCATTGAATATTGGTTAGTGCCAAGTTGTTTGACAGAACTATCAATATAGAAGGTAAAATGATATTGGGATAAGTTAGATAGTAAGATCATAGTAAGTTTTGCAGAAGCATTACTATTGTGAAGGATAGTGGAAATAGTAGAGTCAGTTATGTTAATATTAATAATAAAGAGTGAAGATAAATTGGTAGAATATTTTATTTCAGTAGAGCAAATAAGATCAGCATTGAAGTTAAGTTGTTTGTTAGCTTTTTTCCTTCCCAAAAAGTGGGTAGAAAGAATGGCAGATACTTTTAAAGTGCAGCAGCTAGATATGTGATTTGAGTTAAGATTGCAACCTTCACAGGGGGTGCAGAAGATAGGAAATAGAGGATAACAATTGGGAGTAAAAGTGTCAATACTATGTTGCTAGTGTGTTATGGATATAGTGTTAGTGTGAGTAAAGGTTTTGCGAATTTGTCTGATAATAATATCTTCATTGTGAAAAGTTAAAACCCAGAGTTTGTGAGATTTGGGAAGAGTGTTGGTTTGGTAGAAAAATTGGTTAATGTCTGTAGGTTGACGATGTGATAAAATAGTGCAGTAATAGTTGTTCTCAAGAATGGTATTTTCTAGATAAGTAAACCAAAGTGGTTTTTTGCCAGTTGGAATATGTAGCAGTCTGGGAGATAGATTTAATTAATCAAGAAGTATATTGTTATCTGATAAGCAAAGTTGCTCAAGATATAGTATGTTTTTGTACTGAAGTTATTGTTTAAAAGTGTTGTAGTTGGGGTGGTTTGATAGAGTATTTTCAAGAGGAGTATTACTATTATTTATAGTTTTAGGCCAGGATGAGTTGAAGAATGCATATATTGAGATCTGGAAATAGTTGAAGAGTTGTATAATTTTAAATGTAGTGGAATGCTTATTGGGGCCATCAATAATAGAGTGGGGTGTTGAAGAATATTGGTAGTAGACCAAAGATTATTTTGTAGGTATTAAAGGTGAATATGAGTAGTGGTATCAAGGGTTAAAGAGTTATTAATACAGTTTAGAAAGTTACTAATATGATGTTGAAGTTGAATAACCCAAATATTATAGATATTATAGAGGTTGTGATTAAGAAGAGTACTGTTGGGGGTAGAGTGAGAAAGATGTGCTTTGTGCTTAGCTATAGTAGATATTTTTCAAGGATTTTGTTGCATGTAGATAGAGGAATTATAATATTGTGAAGTCAATATTCGATAGTTGGAATAATAACAGTATTAATAATATAGATTATTTGTTTGTCAGTTATATTTTTGGTACCAGCGATATTAGCAAGTTGAATAGCTTCATTTTGAATAAGTTTAATTTGTGAAGTTTATTTGTTGTTGAGAATAAGCCAGCAATCCAAAAATTTAAAAGGTTGCTGAGGTGGAATAGAATAAAGAGTGGAGTTTAGAAATGTGATATTATTAGAGTTTTGTTTAGTAATAAATATAGATTTAATGGTGTTGACTTGGATATCAGCTATTAAATAAAAGGAGGAAGCAATATTAATAATTTCTTCTAGTTGTGATTTGGATTGAGCAATCTATAGAGTGTCATTCATATAGTCAAGAACAGATATAGAAGTACTAAGGTAGTTGGAAGAAGGATTAATAAGACTAGTTTGCCAGAAAGTAGAAAATGTATAGCCTGAAAAATATGAGGAGATATATGAGATAAAAAGGTCATAGTAGATTCTTCAAAAAAGGGGTGTAATTATTTCTTCTTGGTCAAAACTATTTTTAACAAAGTAAAAATTGGTAAGCCCAAGATTTGTAATAACATGATTAGTACGATTAAATAGTAGATTAGTTAAAATATTAATAAGTTGCTGGGGCATTTGAATATGATATAGTGATTTTTGGAAAAGTTCAAAGTTGACAGAGTTATAGGCCTTACTCATGTCTTAAGAAAGAAGCCAAAGTTGGTTAGAATTACAGTTAGTATTCTCAATAATATTGTTAAGGATATGAATAGGGATATAAGTTGAGTTGCAAAGAAGTACAACAAAGTTAAAGGGTGACAAGATATTATATTGAGAAAAGATGAGATTGAGGTAGTTAGTGAAAAGTTTAGTATATTACTTTTTTATGTATTCGATCAAGCTAATAGGTCTGGTATTGCAAAGGTTGCTATCAAAAATAGATTTTTTTTTGGAAATAGGAAAGATGCAGCCTTCTTTCTATTGTTTAGGAATAGTTTGGGAGGAGAGACAGTGATTAAAAAGTGCAGTTATTGAGATAATAAATGTAGAGCCTGCATGTTTGAATATTTTATAGCTAATACCTGATAGGCTACAAGCTTTGTTGTTAAGAAGCTGGCTAATTGTAACTATAATTTCTTCTTTAGTAAAAGGATAAGAGAGTATTGAAATACCAGGTGGGGTTGATGTTGGTTTTCAGATTATATTCAGATTGCCATTGGGAGTTGAATAAGTTAGAGTTGATAAGATGGAGTATATTTTAATTATTAAAGTGTTGTTGAATATGAAATTTGATAGTAGGGGGTTGGTAATAATATTATTGTCAAGCCTTATATTGTTAAACTTGCCAGAGTCTTTATGTCAGTTAAGGATGCTGTTTATCATTAAAGTAGAATTAGTTTGTAGTTTGGAGCATCTTTTGTCAATAGAGTTTGAAATTTGTTGTCAAATTTCTTTAATATTCTCTAAATTGTGGGCATGAAAAAGTTTTTTCTATTTAGTATTAGCATTAGTGATTCTGAGAATAATAAGTTGATATGTATATAGTAAAAGGAGAATGTTTAGGTTGAAGGATTGGTTGAGTAAGGTAATAGAGGAGTTGAGATGGAATGAAATAGAAAGAAAGTATTTAAGAGCTTGTTTTGTATATCTAATTATATTGCTAAGTTTTTTAAAATTGGAGTATAAATGTGTAGCCTTGGAGAAGAATGTGTGTTGAAAGTTTCGAACTGTGAATTTTTTGTTGAGAATGTATTGTAGTGCAGCTGTTATAGTACTAGTATAGATTTTGTGCCAAGTAGTTTTAAGAGATTCTGTAGTATCTATAGTGGAGAAAGTATAGTTAGAGAGAAAATTGGTATTAATTTAA